CAAAAAATTAAGGAAGAACAAAACTAAGGATATAAAAAGAAGTGATTGTTAGTTAACAAAGCTCATCGATATGATATATAACCATATGGGTTTCTATTGAATCTTGTTGTACGTTCGAGTTATTAATATGGTCTTGTATGTCTAATATTTTCTACTATACAGCTACTCATGACACAGGGCTGGCGTATCTTGAAGTTGTATTCGTTCATGATCATACCTTTCTGTGCTCTTTAGAGACAACAAAAGGGCAATTATTTCTTTAGAGAAGCATGAACGCACCCCTTGTGTGTGTGGGTGTCTTATTGAGATGCGATAAGACATTTGATGAGGATGTTGCGTGCACCGTTGATGTCGCGGTCGACAAACAGATTGCACAAGGCACAGCGGAAGGTGCAGCTGGCCAAAGACAGTGTGTGTTTTATTGTCCCACAGCCGGCACATGTCTTAATCATGTACTCTTCCTTCATTCTTGAGAGGCATGTCCCCGTGACTTGACATTTGAAGGCCAAACGCTGGTGTATTAGGGAGAAAACAAAATGAACTGGAGGACAAGATGTGAGAATTTACGAGTGTTTTGGGGGTAATGTCGATGAACTCAGTGATGTGTTTCGCGGTTGCATGCGTGCCCGGGCAAGGTGGTAAAGACAAAGGTCTTCTAGCTGCGTGAACGACGCGTGGTGAGCAGATGGTCTACACTGGCTCATGATGAGGAGAACGTCTGGTCCCTTCTGGAATAGAAGGTAGATAATACGAGCGAGATAAGGAGCTGGTAAAATGTCCGTTGTATGCTTCCTAAAAATTTCCCTCTGAGAAGGGCTTGAATTTTTTTATCGGAGGCTTTTCCTGCCACACATCAGTCTTGCTGTCATTTTGCTGTGCCTTTTCGTACCCTGACAGCAGTTTCACATTTGGCGCAAAAGTCTACAAAAGGACACCTTTTTGGGGCAAGTGTTGTAGCCCTAGTCAATCTAAACTTAAAAAACAAAACACCCAACCTTTGAGAAATTCCAGGGTAGATCGTACATTAGAATATTAGAGAGGTTTGGGTTATACAATTTTGAACAGTAGATAGTCATTCTGTAAGTATTGCCTTCTTAGCTCAAGGTAGACAAACGGCGTCTTGGGCAGTTGAAAGTTAATTGTCTTACCGCATATATTGGGCCTCAAATGGAAACTCGTACCAGACAATGTAACAGATTTTGGTTAAACCGGCAGAAAGAAGAGCCTCAGCTACAAAAACTGGGTGGGTGAAGAGCACTCGTTTACTGATCGAAGTGCCTACATATACGTATCATGGTGTCAAAATTCAAACACACTCAGGCGCAGTTAACCCCAAGTGGCACATTCAAAGACCCAGGATCCAGTTCTGAGAGGTTTACAGTTATGTACTATGCAAAGAGAAATAATAAACCGTTGGCATGGTTGTTGTAAATTATTAAGATTGATTCAAACGCTACATAGTTGCTACAGAACTCTAAAGATAGCGAGATGCACTAGAGTACGATCGTCACTTTCATCATCTCGATACTGCGTTGCTACTATTGCAACTGCAAAGATATGTTCTAAACCATGTAATAGATAGAGAGAGGAGTGCGCTACTATTCGTTCCTGTTCCCCCTATCTAGTCAAATTTCCGTTTAAATGTTCCGGCCCCTGGTAGTAGCCACATGGATTACACACGTTTTAGCCCTCTGCATAAAAAATCTCCCGATCTCACGGTTTTTTGTTTGGTTGGGGCTTTCCAAGGTTGTCATCAAAGGACAATTGAGCCAAATTACTACAATTCTGTACTTTTGGTCCCAAACGATGTACATTCAATCATCATTTATCTATAACCGCCGTAATTAAATCATTAATCGTTAAAGTTGGTGTGTACCAGTTGAAGAATTTGAAGACATACGTCTCCATTTGAACTTGCCAGCGAGTTTCTTCAACCCGTACCCTTCAGAAAAACTTGAATTCTTTGTGCTGATTGATTTATTGCTTGAAAGCGAGTTCTTCTTATCCCTATACTCATCTCCGCTGCTTTCATCTGTATCAGTGGAGCGTGGTACTTCCCTTGGTCTTACGTCAATCACCTCGGTCACCTCAATAGGGGAAATGGAGCGCTCTGACACAGGAGCATTGAGATCTAGAGGACATGGATGTTCAGAGGTACGTCTCCCATGAGAACGTGGAATATCCTCATCCGAAGGCGATGGTAATATGCTGTACTCCGAGAAGAAACGCTCTGAGAGAGATTGTCTTTTAGCATGTTGAATGAACTGAAAGTATGCATCGCGTAAGAGTTCCTTGATGATCATCATACATTCGACAATATCGCAATCTTTCGGTAAAGTGTCCGTCTCGAAATAGTCTGTAAGTATTGACCGGGTATCATGAGGTATGTTCACCTCTTTCAAAGCGTATGTGGATATATAGTTCGTGTAAATGTAATGCCAAATGTGTTTTCTTGTTGATGGATCGTTCAAAGTGGTGAGATAACTGTCAGCAGTCATAAGAAACTCCAAGTTCTCTGAACAGTGGATTTTCCGAAGGAAATCCAGAAAGGCAATCCTTGAGAATGGTGCTATACTCTTACCACTAAGAATGCTTTCAAAACTTGGAGCTGATGTATTTGCTGAACGATCCCCTGGTGCTGGTGATAGTGGCGTTTGAATGCCTAGTTCATCGGGCACCTCATCCAAACCATCCATTGTGAATGTGAACGGCTCAACTGCTGGTGAGACCGATAGAGTATCTAGATATGACGACATTAAGAATAAAACGATTAAACGTTGAAATGGATGTTGTTGTTGTCGTTAATGATCCAAATAACGTCTTCCCAGAATTTCTTTGTGGAGCTCCAAGTTTTGTACCGGCGAACTGTGGTTACTTATAAGGAAAGATCACTTACACACCTGCGCCTAGAGAAAAGAAAAAAAAAAAGAGTTTTGGAGACTGCGAATACGCATGGACAACGGTCGCAACTTGTAACCTCTGAACCGTTTAAACGGGTGCTGATATATGCATAGTGCATAAGACAAATTCACCATGCATGTTGGGACAAACAGAACTATATTTTCTTTCCTTTCATGGGGACATTAATTAGAAAGTGAAGATTGCTCTATACATTACCCGGATACTCCAATGGTTAGATATGAAATTTTGAAACGTTTTACTTGAAGTTGGCTATTTCGTTGTCCGAAGCTGTGAATAAATATATCATTCAGTCCCCTCTCAAGTTGTCTGCCCTTACCGTTGGGTTTCAACGGTGTATGTACAATACACCTTAGAACTCGTTAGGAATTACAGTTGCATAAAATTTACTTGTCCAAGCATTTTTGGGACAAAAGTTTAATTGGATGTTAGCTTTTTGTCTCGAGCCACATCAATCGACTCACTTTGTGCAACGGTGTGACAATTTTTTAAAGGCGGGCAACCTTCGAACAACCACACAGACCAAAAAAAAGGAAAGTTTAAAAAATGGAGAAATGATTGTGTTCCCTTTTTCAATTTGTTTTTGCTCATGTATGCGTCCGGCACGGATCACTGGGTGTTGTTACCTAGAGGCACCCTTTTAGGATACAAAAGAGAAGCTAGAACCGTTTTTGAAAGTTGCATCACATATTTGAGGACTTTTTGTGCTCAGCTGTTCCCCCTCCCAATAGTCATTACAAAAGATGACTGTGTATTTTTTTTAGAGATATACATTTCATCTCGATGTTCTCTACTCCACGAGAGATAAAGAAAATTGCTAGATACATGTTAAAACAAAAATGACCAGCTGATAACTGATAACCTACACCATGCATTAAACTCGTTATCAATATCAGAAATTTCTAAAATTGTGGAATCCGCCCAATCCTGCATGTTCGTTAGCATGTAGAAAATTGTAGTGCGTATTTGCTGAAACCCCTAGATGAGTGAGGGACCAAACCACAGCTAAAGTTATTAGGAATTCCCACAGTTGAACAATGATGGTTGTAACTTTTTTTTGCTTGGTACAAACCATAGGTCGAGGCGGGCTGGACTTCATCGAAGATACTCAATCCATATATGATATTTGTCCATTAATCTGATCACAGTAGTGAAATGAAAGTACATGAGAACTAGTACTCAGATTTGCGTATACACACATCGTAGTTCCCTGTTGCAGATGCGGATTTTTATGATCAAAGCACTACTATTCTACTACAAAAAACTCTTTGTTCGAACACTCTCTAATTATGAGCTATGCTTATTAGTTCGAACTTGCGAACCAGATAATATGTACCATTTACTGCAAGTATGATGTTAGCAACAACTTTCTCCTAAAATGATCCAAAGAGGGGATCTTATGTGTGCAAGTATTCATATGGTGCCTACAACGTTGCATGTGACAAAAGACATCTCGACGTAAGCTTCTGTTGTAACTTGTGGTTTATATGTAGAGAAGTCACCAACTTTGCTGAACAACTCCTCGAATCGTTAGGGCGTTTGTTTAGTTGTACACCGCATAAAGAAGACCGATGATTCAAGTAGATTATTCGAGACATCAATTCACTTGATACCGAAACCCCGATTGAGACGACATTGTTCGTGTAGGCATTTCATCAATTAGAAACTTATAAAGTGCTTCCGATCATGGGGGAGGGGGGAATTTTTTCCAAGGTACACACATCAAGTAGATGCATGTGAATCATATCATTTCATGAGGGTAACGTGAAACTGTGAAATAACAGCTTTATAATATTTCAGGATCTATCCCCTCATTCCCTTCCTGACATTTGGCTCCTTTTGTCCTTCAGTATTTAGGTGTATGATTCAATGGGCGTGGATAGAGCTTTGTACATTTGGATGGGTAGAGCCTTGTACATTTGGTTTCTGCGATTCACCACATCAGTACTTGTTGTACTTCTTCAGCTCAATGAACTTCCATGCTATATGAAGTAAGAACCACGACTTTGTGGTGGTCGGTCTATCGTTAGTAAGTTGTAAAAGCTTTCTTGAACGCCTCTCTATAACGTTCGTACACTGTATTCTTTTACGTATACTTTTCTAGACCAAGTTGTTTGGACTTGGATTACTTCTCTGTGACACCTGCTAGCTCAAATCTTATCCCACAAGCTCGACATTAGATACAGTCCAGAAAATAACCAAAACTTGGTACTTGACAGGGAAATGCACAAGTATACTGCAAAAGTGAAGACCTCATCAAGGTTACCTTACTGCATGATAAGAAAGCGGCTTTGGGGCGGCCAATATTCATGACCCAACTGGCTGAAAGGTCCGGACACTACCGACATGGCAGTAGCTGGTTCCCAGTGTTTATCGTTGTCTTACTGCTTCAGTGCCAAGCGCATTGACTCAACTTTAGTGTTTCAACCTTGATCAAGATATCAATGTGCTGTAACCAAACAATCTTCTAGGTTTTAAAGGCGGTG